CACAAGTTGCCTGATTTAAACCAATCCATGGCAGAAACAGTGTAAGGCCCAACCTGCTACAATTTACAAGCAGAATGCAAGCAAATCTTACCTATGACAGTGAGTCCTAGTTGCAGATTTGCCCATGATCAATCAGAAGAAGAGGAAAAGAATTGCTTTAGCCTGATTCAGGGAGCACTTGCAACAGAGTGCTTGAACAACACAAGGTAAGATGCTTTAGGTAAGGACCTTACACAAAACATATCTAGCTTAATCAATTATATTTTCTCTGTACTGGAATAACAACTCCCAAGCTTGGTTCTTCAGTTGTTGTTGGGCCACAGCTCTTATTAGCTGCATCCATTGGCCAAGTTGGCTGGAGACAATGAAACTCACAGTCCAACATGTGGTGATTCAAGATTGAGAATCACTGACCTAGAGGTTTTATCTCTTCTTGTCCCTGGCCTTCCCTGCTTTTCTTTTCAATTTCCAAGCTCAACCAACCCAACTCTTCTATCCTCAAGGCTTAAAGATGTCCATTACCTTCCCGGGGCTCTGCCTCTTTTCCTAGGAAACGTCCAGCAGACCGTGCATCTACTACTTGAAACTGGCGCAATTCAATGTTCTCCTTGATATCTGTGTGCGTCTTCACCAGTGATTTGTCTAAAGAGGCATGGAATTCTGCGGGGACAGGTCGGGTCTTTCCAGAGCTGACTGGGTACCCCTCCCGCAGCCAGTTTTTCAGCCCACCATCTAGGAGGGAAACAGCATCATGCCCAAAGGCTCGGAACATCCACCAGACACGGGGGGCTGAGAAGAGACCCTGGTCGCTTCCATCATACACCACAACATGGGAGTCACTGTTAACTCCCAGCTTGCCAACGTACTCTGCAAACTCCCCTGCAGTGGGTAGCATGTGATCGTAAGGCGATGTGCGATCGCTGCACTGATCAATGTCAAAGAAGGCAGCCCCAGGGATGTGGCGTTCCTCAAATTCACTCCGGGGATCACGCTTCATTTTAGGGAGGTACCAGGAAGCATCCAGGAGCCGCACGGACAAGCCAGCTTGTGAAGATTTGATTGCTTCCGACACCCACTTTGCTGACACCAAAGCCCGGTAGAGTAACTGCTGAGACATTGTTTCCACACCCTGTTCCAATTCAGAAACTACTTGAGGTTTCACTGGCCTCTCCACACTGTGGGGAAAGAAGACAAACATCAATAAAGGGGAAAGAGGTCATCTGCCAAAGATTTTCATGTAAATAAACAGAACAGCTAATTCAGCCTATTCTGTGGCCAAATTAAGACGGAATGGCTTTGGCCTAAGAAACTATGGTTCAACAGAGCACAAGCAAGTGCTAAGATCAAACTCTCCTTCCTCTTCTTGTGGGTCTCTTAACACCCATACTGACAAACTGTGGTTTAAGCACTCCCACTGAACTAGGAGAGCCTGGTTCAGACATCACTGAGAAACTGTGCTTTGACAAACCAGAAAGTTGCTTCTAGAGGCACACAGACTAGAGGAAGACAGGTGGCGGACTGCCAGAGTCTGGTTTATTCCTGCTTCCAAGAAACCATTGTTAGATCTGAAACCATCCAATTCCTCACACTCCAAATAGGGAGCTTTCTACATTTAGGTTAGAAAACTTTGTAGATCTGACAGGTGTTAGCAGAGAATTTTGAAAGAGAAAAATGTTGCTGGATGTGCAAAAATCTTTAAGTTCAATTTTAGCTGAGAGCAGTTTTAGCATCTGGTTTTCTAGAAAGAGCTATATGGGAATTTCCATTTTTCTGTCTCATTTCCTGTGCAGGAACAGATGCTTGCTACATTATAGCCCTCTCAATTGTTTTCTCCTCCTGATCCTTTTTGTTTATTCCAAAACAGGAGAGAAGATAGAATAAAGCATGTACTTTGGCCTTAAAATAGTGCCATCTTTCTGTGACACGGGAACTATCAATATCCACTGAGGGTTCTTTCTTCACTAGTGGATCTCCAAGCAGTTACCACCATGAACTATGGCACTTTTTGGTTCACACATGCATGTTCATTGCTTGGTGAGCACACCAAGTGATTTGTGAATGGCCCATTACAGGCCCATATGCAGCCAGGCACTTGATATTAATCCAGCATAGTATAGTACTTTTCAGTGGAGTCAATTCAGCTGCTGTGCATCAAGTATTTACTGTACAGATATATGAACTCTAGTCTGACCTCAAAATTGCATGGCACAGCATGTGCAATCTCTTACCCCCTGTGGTGTTATTAGGAATGTTGAAGAAATCTGCAACGGATTCCAGTAAGTTCAAATGTTTACACCTGCAGCCTGCAGATTCCAGTGAGCCAGATTTTTCAAAGTCATGCAGGCTTGCACTCTGTTTTTAAACTTTGAGACAGTAAATGTCAGTGAGATTTGCCCAAATTCACACTTGTGTTAAGTTGAATAGAATTCTCCTACCTCTGTAAACATATCTATTTTGTCAGTAAGTGAAATTTGCCTGTTCATCTGTGGAACAAATGGATGGATTTAAAGAAATCTATACATCCCTAGCTGTAATACTGCCAATTTACAAAAGTACATTGGGTTGGATCCAAATGGTCATATTCGTGCTGAGTAACTTAGGTCTCACTGATTTCAATGGGTCTTACTCCTAGTATGAACTGCCGGAAAGATGAACAAATGCATCCTAGATCAAATCAAGCTAGAACTTCCCTTGAAAGCAAAAATGACCAAACTGAAGCTGTCATATTTTGAGCACATCATGAGAGGGCAAGACTCACTAGAGAAAACAATCATGCTGGGGAAAGGCAAAGGCAGAAGAATTGGTTGACCAAATATGAAAGCAATTGACTCCATAAAGGTAGCTGCAGTTTTGAGTTCACCAGAGCTGAACGGATCTGTCAAAGACAGCACATTTTGGAAAGCATTCAATTCATAGGGTCTCTATAAGCTGGAGACAAAAGAACATAACAAACAACCCCCATTATATTATTATTACCATTATCACGTTGAATTTATATCCTGCTTTTTTTCCTTTTGTGAAAGGTGGCCTACATAGCTCCATTTTTATCCTCACAACAACCCTCTAAGGTAGGTTGGGCTGAGAGTCTGTGACTCGCCTGTAGTCACCCAGTGAGCTTCGGTTCCAAGTGGAGCCTGGAACCTGGATCTCCCGGCTTCCCAGTCTAACCACCACATCACCCTGGCACTTGAAGACTGGTTCCTAGCACCATGGCTGTCCATTTGGTGATGCATCCTGGTGGTAGAGGCAGAAACAGGGTGGATGAAGAATTATACAGTGTCTCCTCTGCTCAGCATGTTCATATGGAGCACAAAATGGTTTTCTGTCATAGCAGCCTTCTCTAACCCGATGCCCTCTGGAAGTGCTGGAGTTCAATTCCCAGAATGGGATGCTAGAAGCTACAGGACAATACACCTGGAGGGTCCCAAGCTGTGAAGGCTGTGTCAGGGAAAGGAATCTGGATTTCCACTTCTGTTATTAATTAATTAAATTAAATGTTTAATTTAGAATGATTTCTAGGCTGCCTCTGTGGGTAGAACCCTTGACAGATGTAAACCGTATTAGAGCTATAAAACGCTGCCTACTTGTGCCAAAATTCACAGCAGTAGTGCAGCTCGCTTCCGTAGTTCCATATTTTTTTTAAGGAACAATGACTGCTGTCACACCCAGGTTGGCATGTAAGTATCAAAAGAATATCATGTTGAGTTGCAGCCATACACAAATCCAAAGACTAAACTTTCAACAGATGTTTAAGTGGGCATGTGAAACCACACCCTTCATTTTCCAAGTTAATCTGGACTCTTGGAGCCACCATCAGCTGAACCCAGTGGGTACATGCCAGAACCCTAAAAACATTACTGCCACAATCTCTTCCAGAGAGAGCTAATGTCCCAACTTAGGGAGCTAGGTTTTCCATGGCACATTTTGCCAATAACTAGCATATAATTGGTGCTCAAGAGCTTAGCCATATAACCAAGATCCACTACTCATCCCCCAGAATATGTGAATACAGAAAAGTCTCTGAGCATGAGCAAAGTGCTTTCCAAAGAGACATGCACAGATTCATTTTGAAGTAGACATACATGAATTTATAGCTATTTTTCATGGATTTATTTGTAATCTATTTATTTATGGAATTGGCTGAGACAAAATGCAGCCGTATCTGCTGGTTTAGATGGTTTTAAAGGGGAATCAGGCATTTATGGATGGTAAATCTAATCAGTCACTCTTCCCCATGAGAGGAAACTTTGAGAGCTAACTTTCAAGTCCAGAGGCAGGACATCTCTGAGTAACATGTATGTGAAAGAGAGGGGAGGGATAATTTCTTGTCTTTGTGCCCTACTTATAGAATGTCTGAGTAGAAGAACCTTTACTCTTATCCATTAGGACTGTTCTTATGCTCTTAATGGATTAGTTGTGCACACAGTTAAAAGGCTGGGGGAGCAGAGTTTGGGGAATATTTATTATAAGCTTTACATGCCATCTTTCCTCCTCTTGCAAGGAGCCCGGGATGGCTTATGTGGTCTTCCTCCTATTTTAGACTCACAACAACCCTATGAGGCACAGCAGACTGAGGCAATCACTAGCTGAGACTGAGTCATGCTCTGACCTTCATGGCCAAAATCGGTACTAAAACCTGGATCTCCCAAGCCCCAGTTTAACACTTGAACCAGTACACCATAATGTGCTTTTTCAATGTTTAGGTGATACATACACATCTGAGCAGACAGTTAGAGAAGGCTCTAGGATTAAGAGAAACTAGGCTAGGAATCCTCAGTGTTCTCTGACTTGAAAGAGCCAGAGTATACAAACAGAACACCATTTGTGTGCTGCTTCGGATCGTGTCCATGCAAAGTGAGAATGGCATTGCTGTTGGGAGACCTGGCACCTTTTTGCAAGCCTTGGAACCATGCAAATGCTTGAGCTTGCCACTCTGCAGAGCATCCATTCACTCAGGCAGCAAGTGAGGAAAATGGAAGCCTATTTCCTGTCAAGCTCATCATTCAGTAGGTTAAAGTACGTCAAAAGTCCACAGTCCAGAAGTGGGTGGGACTGTAGCTAGAAGGAAGTGCAGGTTGCAAAGCAGACAGAATTTAAAATAGGCCATGGTCCGCCACCCCACAGTTCTATTTAGGCCCCTGTGCAGCTACCTCTGCTTTCAGAGATTCGGCAACAGCAACTAAAGATGGGGTTTGCTCAGTAGTAGTATTCTAAATATGAAATGCCTTCCATTTCTCTTACACTTTGCAGCAGCTTTCCTCTGGTGCCCACCAGGCACATGAATGCCCAAGACTGCTAGCCTGGCTATCTGGGGCTCTTGGGAGTCAAAGTCCCAGACCTGTGAAGGCCATCAGAGTGGAGAAGGCGTTTTTATGGCCTAATTTCTTTAACACTGGCTTTCTTGCCCCCAATGCACGAATTATTTGCTATTGCACTTCTGTGCCTCCTTTGCCCTTAGACCAAGTGATTATGGGATTCAAAATGACCTTTGAAGAAAGATGGGAAAACAAAGATTTTTAAGAAATAGATGCCATAAATTCCTTCCTGTGTGTAAGAGAAGGGAGGAATGTCTCTTCTAAAATAGCACTGACTGCATGTGTTTATTCACAAATTACTGAAAACCACCATATTTAAAATGATTTTTTTAATCTGTTCCCTTCTTAATCAATTAAGAAGGTGGTCTTTCAGTTCAACTCTGCACTCTAGCTTATATTACACAAACATTTCCTTTGATTGACTAGCTCTTTATCCTAGCTCCATGGAAACCAGCTATAATTGCTGTTGTAAAGAAAGCATTCTTGGCATCATTCCATTTTGTGGACAGTTTCATAGTCATACCAGATCATAGGAGTATTCCACTGCCTGAAAATAGGCAATGCTCACCCCGGGTCTCTGAGCTGGGAAGTGGCTCTGACCTCAGAAAGAGCCCCAGCACCTCTTACTGCAGGTCAGATGGCCCTCTATTTCCCCTGCAGAAAAAAGTGATGAGATACAGCACTAGCAACTCAGACTGTAGACAAGTTTGCTTCCTCTTTCCGGGGGGTGGGGAGTACTTGTTCTAGGTCTTCCTCAACCTGATGGCCACCAGATGTGCCTCGCTGCAATTCCCATCAGCTGCAGTCCCAACACATCTGGAGGGCGCCAGTCTGGGGAGAGCTGTTATGGTCGTGCAGGGAGAGCGTCCATTCACTCGGTCGCGGACGCCCCTTCTCCCCAGGCGAGTGATCCAGCTCCTCGCCCGTCCACCCCGCTTTCTACCCGCGGGCCCACGGAGGCGGGATTCTTGTGGGATCAGCTGACCTCCGAGCACATGGGCGGGCGTCCCTCTACGCCTTCCGCATTGAGCCCCCACCCACGGAACCCCTCCATAGGATCCTCCCTCCTTGTCCTCCTCTGTACCTCTGCGCCCTTCCGATTGCCCTGACTCCGCGAAAGCAAGCTCGCTCCGAGGTGTTCAAAGTGCCGCACTCAGGCAGGCTTCTTCCTGGTCTATGAAGCCCTTCTTGCCCCTCATTCGCGTCGACTCCTGGGCGGAGACAAGGGCCACATCCCACTTCGCCGTCCAGTAGAAGAAAAGTGACAGGGCGAACCAACTCGTGGCAGGCAAGAGGGGAATTAAAATAAAATCGCCCAACCCGAACGTGGAGATCGGACCGCTCTTCGGATCCGAGTCGCTAAGACCACCTCTGACTCCACCGTAGGGGCTTCTGCGGAGATTTGGCGAGAGAATGACCCCTCCAGTCCTTCCCTGAAGGAGGAAACGGGACCCTCCCCCCCACCCCATAAGCCCGGACATGCTTCCTGTCCTAACGCGCTGCTGAACCTAACGGGAAGACGCGAGGCGGGGTGGGGCTATATTTTGGGTTGGGGAGAAGTGCTTTGTAATAGGGTATGGCTAGGAAAGCACGCGTCTCGCATCGCTAAGAACCGCAGAGAGGTTTTAAAAAGATGCCCACCGGGTTCCTTGCAGGGCTTGAGAATTCTGGCCAGTTGTGCCACAAGCATAACTTGTTCAAAGCACCCGGCATTCTCATCCCCTTTTATCATCTAAACGCGTGTGTTTGCACAAATCTGATGACCCAATAAAAAGGGGAAACGAGCCAGCCCCTGTCGTCTTCACGCCTCAGTGGTAAGCATAGAGAGAGGTGACGGGGGGAGGGGGATCCAGGGCGTCCAGAGAATCATCAAAGCTCCATCGGAGAGGACAGAACAAGACAGAAAAAGGCTAATCTTCTATCTGCTTTTCTGCTTGTTAAAAGCCTGGGGCGCATGGATTCCCAGGATTCAATATTCCGCTGCCTTGTGACCTTGGGTGTGTCCTTTAATGGCACTGTGTATTCAGAGTAAATCTGAATTCGCATACCCTCACGGTTCTACCAAGCATAGTGATTTTATAGCGGAATTCTATTAGAATTCCGTGGAAGTTAAAGCCCTGCTGTGTCCAATACCCCCCCCGCCCCCGCTCCCAAACACACACACACATGTTGAGGATCGCAGCAGTCAAAACCTTATTTCAGAACTGCAAGGTCCCAGGAAAAGAGATTGGGCCTCAACACTATCTGCTGGTTGTCAGGTTTTGTTCTGCCACCTGTCCCTTTAGTTTCCAGTTAATGACCAAGTAAGTGTTTGAAGAATGAAAAGTCTATGTGCCGCACGGGGCTGCTACACACACGCAACAAAAGTTCCCAGCAGTAACCAACCTGGATACATGGCATGAATCGTTGGAGCATTTCCAATCAATTAACTAGTTTCTCTTTAAAACTCTCCCTTTTTCATTTGCAGGGAACACTTGATGTTCCCAGCCTTCCTGGGAATCTTATGTGTCGTTTCCCCTTTCAGGTTTGCCCTTTGCCCCACTGCCAGCCAGTCACTATCACTTACTGTGAAGCCTGATACATGTTCACGCTAGTTGCAGCACAGCCCCAGACAGCTGAGTCACGGATGTTCTAACCCCACAGTCCTTCTGTGAGAATGGGAAAGAAGGAACAGGAGGAGGGAGAGGCACTGGAGATACGTTTGTTTCATCTTAACACCTAATTCATATTCTCAAAGCCAGCCAAGTATTTTGGGAGAAAGGCTGCCTAGGATTGGCAGCGTGTTGTGGGAGGGCCTGTATGTCAGTCCAAAGTCCAGACATGAATAGAAATGAATGTGGCTCAACTTTGTTTCCCTGCCCCCTGTTAGTTGATTGGTGGAGAATCAGACACTGGAGCTTAGGGCTTTGGAGAGCCTCTCTTTTCTCCACATTCCCATCTGCTAGCTGAAGTCTCTCTTCATCGATCCACCTAGTCTTAGCTAATATGGTGCAGCAAGCATTATACAGAGCTCTGGTCTCCACCAAATGGCTAGCAGAAGCTGTGAGGGCCAATAAGATTGGTCCTCAGCTGCGGGTGCTAGATGCCTCCTGGTATGAACCTGGCACAAGAGAGGCACAGAAAGAGTTCCAGGAACGGCACATCCCTGGCACCTCCTTTTTTGATATTGAAGAGTGCAAAGACAAGTCATCACCCTATGAGCTCATGCTGCCCAGTGAGAAACACTTTGCTGACTATGTTGGCAACCTGGGCATCAGCAACGACACACATGTAGTTGTGTATGACGGAGACCACTTGGGCAGCTTCTATGCACCGCGGGCCTGGTGGATGTTCAGGGTCTTTGGGCACCGAACTGTTTCAGTTCTGAATGGGGGGTTCAAGAACTGGGTGAAGGAAGGCCACCCTGTGACATCGGAGATCACCCAGACGAAGCCAGCTGTCTTTAAAGCCACCCTTAACAGCTCACTCCTGAAGACTTATGAGGATATTTTGCAGAATATTGAATCCAAACGATTCCAGTTGGTGGATGCCAGATCAGAAGGGAGATTCCAAGGAACAGAACCTGAGCCTGGGAAGGCAGGTAGGAGCACTCCAAGACCACTTCCACCATGAGGGAATGTTTACTGACATTGATTCTGATGTGGCTAATATTGGTTCACTCCTTTAGGACCCCTTTTCACCATAGGCTTAAATCCCTTACATGCTTTCTTACTCCACTAAGAAAAGGCATAACACTTTTCTAATTAACATGCATAGAACTGGATGTGTGCCTAACTAAAAGTTATCCAGCAGAGCCAGATTTTTTCAAAAGGCTGGGCATATTTAGATTCAGGATTTCCTCCTCACTCCTTACCAGTTTAGAAGAATGAAGTAACTTGGGGTGGGGGGTACCTTAATTACACCTTCCTTGCCTCCTTCTTATCCTGTGGCATAAGTAGTTATAGATATCAGAAAGCTAGAGGATCCCTTTTTTCTTTAGGGCTCCATATTGAACAGTAACAGAATCTACTACTAACAGTTCTCTCCTTGTTGGCATTCACATTAGCCATTAATACTGCCCAAGTTGATTAACACTCTGTGAAATTAAGTTCCCTAGTAACTTAAGGATTCTGCTGCTCATTTTCCAATTCTTTGTTCATTTGTTGCATAAAACAGAGCCTGCTTGGTCTTTGCCTTCCCCCCCCCCCCCAAAACCAGCCTGCTTAACAGTTGCAAAAGAAGGCCATATCTCACCTACTTGTATGCTCTTTCCCCTCCTTGATAATGTATATGAGATTGCTGAGCTGCAACTTTTGATTAGTTCAGACAAAGGGCAAAAGCCACAGCAGTGGGAGCAGGGAAAGGTCTGCATACATGTGTGTGTCGGACAAGCACTGTAGCCTGCTGGGACAGAATCCTGATGAATAAACACCAAGTTAACAATTTCCCAGTATTACCACACAAAGCCAACCCGGTTTTTTGTGTGTCTTGACCAGCAAATAAATCAAAAGTGTCAGGACTGGGCCTTCAACTGTTAGGCGTTTTCTAAAGAGAAAAACACTTTGCTGGAAATAAAAGTCTTTACCAAAAAATGTGACAATAGCTCCTGTGTCCTTTTTTCACTGTGTATATTGCAATCAGTGTGGTTTTGTAGGGTCTGCTCCAGGTTCAAGGGGGCCTTCTGGCAAAGTTCCATTTGTTGGGCCACAGCTCCAGCATTAGCAACCTGCCTTAGGATCAGCAGCCCTTGTGCCAGAGGATCTGTTCATGGCAGCAATAGCAGCACTGAGATCTTCCATTTGATCCTTCCACGGTGGCCCAGTATAGCATTGCTCCAAGACGTGGCACAGAATTTAAAATGCTGATCATACCACCACACCACCATTAAACAAAATCAAGCTGAGGGGTATTGAGAACGGATGGGTGGCCCAAGTCCAGTGTAAGTTTTGACACTGCCAGGCCGTTCTGGTGGGATTCTACGCAGAAGCCCTTTAGTTAATTATCAAAAGGCATTTTGTTTTTTCTTCCTTATTTTTTATGGCACAAAACAAGATGCCATGCTGGAAATCCTAAAAGGACTATAACCTGACAACATCTGGACACATACCCACTCATAACATTCTATGAATAATTCAAGGCAGTGCCAGAATAACAGCCTGATCTAGAAGCAGCCTTAAATCTGAGGGTGTGGTGCAGCAGCTGCCCAAGAGTACAGGATTTGAACTCAGGCCCTCATCTGTTCTGCTGTATTTATGACTACTCATTTCTTCTCCTGTGGACACACTTAGCATATCTCAAGGGTAGAGATCTTGTCACTCTCTAGATATTTCGGCCTACATTCCCCAGAAAACCTGGACCACTGCTTATGTTAGCTAGGCCTTATTAGCTTAGCTAATGATTCTTAGGGTAAGTCTTTGCAGGCGATCTAAACAAGTTTTTTAGAAAAAGACCTAACCAAAGCCACCCATGCAAAAGTTTAGTCCAACTTCAGAATCTTTCTTAGAAAGTCTGTGTCAGCAACACGTGAAGAATCTGGTTGGCAGGTAAGAATTCATCGGGTTCCTTTGTCTCGGTTCCCCAGACTCTAGCCTGCTTTATCTCTGCCTTAAGTCCAGTTCACACCAAGCATTTGTGTGGACCTGCATCAGGAAGCAGGTCCAAGTGAATCCGTGAGGCCAGCTTGTGCACATGTTCTGTTTTGCACATAGGACTTGCAGTCTTTGTGTACTTTGCAGACTTTGCACAAAAAATGCATGCTTTCTGCAGAGGATTGTGTACTTTGCATACATTGTTTATATACTCTGCATACTTCACACACAGAATTACATGTTTTGTGCGAAGAAGCCACTAGCCTTCCCAGTTTTCCGTGACTTGATCTTGGCTTGGCTGTCTTTCTGGCCAGGGCCAAGTGCAGGACAGAAGTCTGGTAAGTACAAGAGAGCCGGGTTCTGGCTGATCCTCGCAAGTATAAAGTAATGCTTGTTGCAGCAAAAAATCCCAGCTTCAAGTATATGCTGATAGGCTCTGAGTTAGCAGTGACAGAGCAGGAAAAGGATCTTGGGGTGGGGGTGGACAGCTCAATGAAAATGCCAGCCCAGTGAAACAGCAAAGTCCATGCTAGGCATAAGTTGGAATGGAATAGAAAATAGAACTCCCAAGATCTAACTTCTCTTATGCAAATCCTTGGTACAACTTCACTTAGAATATTGTGTCGAGTTCTGATCCCCTCACCTGAATAAGGACATCATTGCATTGAAAACAGTACACAGAACTCAATGAAAATGATCAGGGGGCTGAAGCAACTCCCCTATGAGGAGTATCCTCACAACAACTGGGACTAATCAGCTCAGAAAAAAGGTGAATAAGAGGAGATATGATAGAGCTTTTTAAAATTATGTATGGAGTGGAGAAAATGGAGACGAACACATTTTTCTCCCTCCTATAACACTCAAACTCCCCAAAGCTGAGTGGTGGAAGGCTTAGGACAGGCAAGAGAAAGTACTTTTGTCACGCATTGTATAGCGAACTATGGAATTCACTGTCACAGGAAGAGGTGATTGCCACCAATCTGGGTGGTTTTTAAAAAGGATTGGACAGAATCATGAGAGAGGAGGCTATCACTGGCTACTAGCCCTGTTCCTTCACCAGTTGCTGATGATCTTGGGCAGACTGAGGTCTTGTACCCATCCTGCCTGAGTGATCCTGCAGGCAGAGGGTTTTGCCACTGGGTATACAGAGTGCTGGCCTAGATGGACCTGTGGTCTGCTCCAGCATAGTTTTTCTTATGGTTTTACAATCCATAGCAAACAAGGATTCAAGTTCAATGAAAAGTGTAGCAGTGCTTCTCATGGCAGGTTCTTAAGTACCCAAGACATGATGGAGCATCCATGGGAAGAATGTCCCAAGAGGCTCACTTGGTAGTAGGTCCAAGTGAGAGGATCTGGGGCAGTAAAGCTGTGAATGTTCCTTGCAAATGCTCCCAAAGTAGGCATCAGCTGAAAAGTGAGTGTGTGGTTGCGGGAGCCCTCCTCCTGAACAGCAACCAACAAGGGACCGTAGCCCATCTACCCTTCAGGGTTGATGCTTCAACCTGCGTGACACCTCCAAAAACCACCCCTTCTTCTGTTCGGTTCTCACAGAGAGGCTGCCAACTTCCTCCCTGGCCAAGGCCGGAACCAGATGCTGGACAGCAGCCAGTTACCTCCTGCCTGCATTCCCCTGGAGCACTGACAGAGATAATAAGCTTGCGCTGATTCTGACATTCCACAGCCTGAAGGGGCCCAAACCCTTCAAGAGCACTTCTGACCAGATTATAGCTTGTATCTGTAAGGCTGTTTGCAGGGCTGGAGCTGAGCCACAGCAAATTTGGCCCCTATGCCTGTGGTTCCCCACCCCTGCTTAGTATCCTTACGCAAACAGAAGTAAAGTAAACATATGAAAACATTTCTGTACCTGCTAGAGCTTAATGTGAACCTCTTCAGCCTCCTCCTACTTTCCATCTTAAGACTGTAACCAAACGCCAATTCCACGTCTTGGACATCAGCCTTTTTTTCTACCCCACCAACACTTTTAGTATTATATTGCATTTATAGCCCACCATTTTTCTTCTCACAAGGAACCCAAGGTGGTTTTCATAGTTCTTGCCATCTTCTCAATTCTTGTCATCACAACAACCCTGTGAGGTAGGCTAGGGTGAGAGTCTGTGGCTTGCCCAAAGTCACCCAGTGATTTTTGTGGCCAAATGGGAACTAGATTTCCCAGGTTCCCAGTGCAACACTCCATCCATGAGACTTCACTGGCTCTCCTTTGTGCTTTTATCATCATCTTGCCTGGAGATGAAGAGTTCTGGAGAACTCAAAAGTTTGTGCAGTATTTTGCAACCATTGCATTGGCCTCAGAAACGTATTACAATGAAATGGAGTTAGGGTTCGGGGGAGGGTCCTCCACAAAGCCAAAAGTTCTATTGTCTTTGCTTTCTATGAAACCAGAGTAGTGCCTTCCTGAATCCTACTATTCCTTAAGATACGGGAGAAAAACTAGAGAAAGGATTCTTGCTACCTAGTCCATTCCAGATGTGTTGGGGTACACTCCTATCAGCCCCAGCCACCATGCTGGTAAGAGTTGTACTCTAACACATTTGGTGACACCAGTTTGGGGAAGGCTGGATTATTGTCCCAGAAGAGCTAGGATATCCCTACCCCATCCATCAAATTAATTAGTTCCTTTCAGCACCTCAGCCTATTATTCTGCCAAAGAGTTCCAGCTATTCATATGATAATAGGATATGAAAGATAATTGTGTGAAACATTTTAAAATGTAATCTGTCTTTCAGGAAGTCCTAATCTGTATATAATATTACTCAGGAAAATGAGCTTCGAGGAGTGTTTACTTTGTAATATATTGCTTTTTGGCTTCCCTTTAAAGCTTAAATGGAGTGGAAATGGTGTAAAACCAACATATTTTAGTCAAAAGCATAGGGTAAAGTAAATGGTTATCCTCAGAGCAATATTTATAGCCCCATGATGCTGAAGCGATTGTCCAGGGGAACCAACAAGCTCAAGCCAATTCCTGAGGAGCACAGAGGAGACAAATCACAAACCTAATGAGACAGAAAATGTCCATCTGGAAGGGTGGGAGACCAACTGTGACAGATTTCCAGAGGAATTGCTTTCCATAGGAACTGCTGCAGCTTTATCATTCCAGGCAGACCTCTCCACTTACAGCTCATGCATATATGTGTTTTGGAAAGGGTTGCCAAGCCTGCCAGTTTCTTTCAGATGCTATCTAAGTAGAGCAAGGGAACAAGGGATGTTTGAGATCTCAAATTCTCTGACTCACATCTTAATGCTCGCCTCGTGCCTAATTCCCATCTGTATTAGCAATTGCTGCTTACTCTGTATGAACAGGACATATGCACAAATCAAGCAGCAATCAAATGAGAAATTTGCGCAACATTCCCCAAATGTATGCAAGTTTCTGCCAACATGGGCTGATTCCTTCTACGGAGGAAATTTAAGCAAATCAGATCTGAACTGAGAATGGAATGACCCAGCATGTGTCTGGTAGAATTTGGGCAGAAATGTTCTTATGCTCATGTTCAGAGCTTCAAATGGAATATAAACCAACATTCTCATGCATCCTCATATCTTAGTGAAGGGGGGGGGGTCACAATGCCATGGCACAGTGCAGCAGAGTCCCATTGGGAAGTCTTGGCAGGTGAGTTTTTAAACTGTTTATTGAAAGGGGTGAGTTCAGAGGAGCAGCTGGGCTGATGAGCAAGAGCAGGACAAATATTCTGATGCCATGATGATTGCACATGGCACCATGAGGGTAGACATTCGGGGCAGATCTCCAGGGTCCCTCTCAACAGATTGAACAGGAGGGACCCCAAACATAGCAGGGCTAGTTTACCACATTTTGGCATAAATGAAATAATACATATGGCCATCTAAGGAGCTACCACCCCAAATAACTCTATTAAGTTCAGAGTTCAAAATCATCAGTGGTTGTATGATCAAACACAACTTGTGACACACCAGGCCAAACAAAGCTTGCATCAGATCACATAGTTTGTGCAATACCCTTGGCAACTTCCCATTTTGGTAATCCTACAGAGGAAACCAATACATCTTGAAGCCATAATTGTCCCTCTCCTCCCAAACAGGCCTGAACAATGGCTCCCTAATTAAAAGATTTGTTGAGTTAATACAAGCCAAGCAGGATGACTTAAAAAGAAAACCACATGGTGAGCTCTGGGTATTGGGTGGTATAGAAATTTTAAAAAAATGAAAAATGAAATGTATTGCAAAAGTCAGTAACAAAAGAAAAAACTTTGTTAGCATACTAGCCTATAAAGAAGTGTAAGAAGCTATTGGTAAGGTGATTCCAAACTGTATACCCTCTTCCCTTCCAGACTCTCAAACTTCCCGCACATGCCTCTAAGGCAGATAGATCCTCTTGCTTCAGAGCCAATGACTTAGAGGACTTGACACTTCTCAGCCAGTCTGGTCTCCAGCAGATCCTGGGCCCTGGGATGAGTGATCGCTTATCCTCTCTCCAGCTCATTAGCAGGCTCATGCTGCTTTCCCATATTGTGTGAAGCTGAATGACTCTCAGCTCCTGCCTGGCTTATTGCTGGGTCCACTAGTCCTGGCATCCCAACTGTAGATTCTGACACTTCCTCTTTATCTGAGCCAGATTTTTCTCCGTATCTCTAGAAGGCTTTTTGCAGCAGAAATGGGCCCAGTTCCTACAAGAAACCATATCATTTATGGCTACATTAGTTGGGTGGGGCATGAGTTATATAATTCCTAAATGTGCCCCCAAGCAACTCTTGAAGCATTTCCACTTTTGAATACATGTCAATCAAAATATTTTGCCTCTAACCTCTTGCATGTGCCAAAATGTATGTTCTGTCACTTCACAAGTAAAAGCATTTGGAATGAGACATCTGGAGATGGTTACTAGCAATAGCTGATGCTATGCAAATGCTAGAAGTCCCCAAGTCAAAACAGGAGAGCTGGAAAGCCTGGTTGTAAAGGAGAACCTAAATATGGCAGACATCATAGAAGTTTAGAATGGATACAAACTTTATGGGAAGGACCAAGAAGGGTGTACTGGAGAAGATGTTGCTCTTTAAGCCAAAGGGGTTATAGAGTCCAGCAGACTCAGAAACCTAGGACGCACGCCCACACACATGCACACACACACACACTGTGCTCCTTCAACTGGTTCATCTGACAACACCATCCAGTGAGGATGACCTAAACCCTCTGAACTCAGAGCATTACAGGCATCAAATGGAGGGTGAACGAGTAGTGAAGACAGGACTGTCCTGCACCTGCTCATGAGTAGGAGAGGCTGAGGCATCACCAGGGTACATCACCTCCTACTGGAGCTTTACTGCTCCCCTTCCCACCCCACAGAATGGCCCCATACCCCATGGCTTGGAGATCAGTCTTATGAGGTAGGATATTCTGTGGTAAGGCTTCCAGCTTTGACCTTGGAATGTGTTTCTGAGGTCAAGGCTGGAATTCCAACCTTTTCTATGACTGTCTAGACAGGGTTTAGCAGCTAGAGGACCTGCACCCTTAATCTATCTTCAGATTGTGACATGCTGTTGTGAGCTGGGTGTCCCCTCTCAAGCAAGACAGTCTCTCTAGCACTTCTTGTAAGCATCTTTATTCTACATAGAAGACTCTAAGCATTCATGAGCCTCTGAGCATACACAAAGAGATGTTTAACCTTCTCTGCCCCCCTTTACTCCAAGGCTCTTTGCTTATGAACCCTTTGGGACCTATCTCTGGAAGGAGGGGTGCTGTGGAACTGGGTGCGCCTACACTCTGCACTCCGAGACCCTGACTGGGCCAGCCTGCAGCTGTGCTGGCAGGCCCTCGGGCCCATGCCTTCAGGAGGCTGGCGTTCTCCACCCGAGAGACTACCCATGTCCAAATATCCCTCCCGTCCTTCGTCTGCTCCATTCCCATAGGCGGGAGGGAGACTGTGCCCCATGGGTGTCCTTGAGCTACTTTCATCCATAGCAGGCTCAGACTGGGACTGTGGGGGAGAGTCTGCAGTACAGGTTTGTCTGCAACAACAACAGTTCTGTTATCAGAGTGTGAGCTCTGAGCCTTGTCTGGGTCAGCCAACTCCACATCATCCTCAGAGTCTGAGTTCTCAGTCCCACCAAAACAGGCCGTTTCTCATGCACGCCTGGGAACCTCACCAAAGCAGGCGCTCATCACACAATCAGGTTCTTCTCTCACCAAGGCTTAAACGTTAAATGTTTAGAGCCAGTCCTTCAATGGATGAAATAATAATTTGGACATTGAAGTTGAGCATCTTTTATTTACCACCAGATGATCACTGCCAGCTTTAACTTAATCTGGGTTGTTGAGGAAGGCCTTCCAACAGGAAATGTGTCTTGCAGAGTCATTCTCTGGACTATGGGTGTCCTTTATCAAGCCCCAGGCTCATTTCAATTCCTTCGATTCAATGTTTAATGCAAGCTTTGAAATTTTGCAAGCTTCATTTGGGATGTAACAGAAATTGTGTTCTTTGTACACAATTGTAAAAGATTTATGAAACTGTGCATAATCTAACTTGTTCATCTGGTCTTGTTCGTTTTAGAAATCACCTTTTCATACCTTCTCCACTGTCTTTTGCCTTCCCACTTGTAGCTTTTCAGGCAAAAGAAATAATTCGCTTCAGGGAATTACTGATCTGGCCTTTGTTCTTCCCCGTTTTAGGGCTTGAACCAGGTCATATTCCAGGCAGTGTGAACATGCCTTTTTTCAGTTTCTTAACTGAGGAAGGATTTGAGAAGAGCACAGAAGAAATCCGGAGGATGTTTGAGGAGAAGAAAGTGGATCTTGACAAACCAGTGATTGCCACATGCCGTAAGGGGATCACAGCCTGCCATATTGCCCTAGCAGCTTACCTGTGTGGCAAACCTGATGTGTCCGTTTATGATGGATCTTGGTCAGAATGGTTTCGTCGCGCCCCACCACAACATAAAATTTCTGAGTGGAATCGCAGTAAGGCTTAAGCAAGGGAATGTCTTCCCACCGTGCTTTTCCCTATTCATGCTATGAAGTTTGGTTCTGTATGATTTCTAACAATGATCAAGAGTGGGGATATGGCTGAAGTTCCTGTTCCTTTGTGATTGTCTAGTTGTCTAATCCAGTGGCACTGTGACTGTTTTTTATTTTCATAATCTGATAATTGAATTAAACAGAGTCTCTGATCAAGTGGCCTTTTCTTTCTGTGTCTTTTGTTACTACCCATTGCTGAAGTTTCTGTTATTGCTGTTATTAGCATTCACAGCCTTTAAATACTGCCTTTTCATTGCACAGAGCAACACAGGGATGTGGCCAAATTTGTTCCTTCTGCATGGAAAGAGAAGTCTTCTATAGGACAGTGGAGCAGGCCATGGAATTAGAGTGCACGATTAGATAGGAAAATGTCCTATAACTCCCAGTATCGTCCAACCCAGCCAGCTATGTTCTCGCCATCCAAGAGGGGTCGCCCCCATGCTGTTCCTGCCCTGCATAGGATGCTCGTAATCCACTGAGTTCAGAGGCGTATGAGCATCTCTGTTGGGCATGCCCTAAGGCAGTGGCGGCAAACCTATGGCACGCATGTCCAAAGGGGCACACAGAGCCCTCTCTGTCAGCACGCAATCACCCCAGCAGCCATGCGCATATTCGGAAAGATTAAGGGCACCCGGCAACGACTTCACTCCACTCACCGAGCTTTTGCATGGTGGGTCAGTGAGCTGCCAGGGATTTGCATGGACTGTGATTTTAGCAGGATGCAGGTGGCGCAGTGGTTTAAACTGCTGTGCTGCTGGGCTGGTTGCTCGAAAGTTTGACCGTTCGAGTCTGCACAACCCGTTGTGATTTTAGCAGAAGGTAGGAAAGGTAGGAAATACACTCAGGTAGGAAATATACTCAGGTAGGAAATATATGCCTTTTTCAGGGCCGGCCAAAAGCTGGTGGTCAGTGGAACATTGCCCCTTGTGCTGGTGGTCAGCAAATTCAGGTTTTATTGCAGTGTTGGCATTTTGCAATAAATAAGTGGGTTCTGAGTTGCAGTTCGGGCACTCGGTCTCTAAAAGGTTCTCCATCACTGCCTTAAGGCACTATTGTACAAGGCTGCCTTGATTCAATCTATTCAACATTCCCTCTTCTTCCAGTGTTAATGCATGACTGTCATTGTTAATGTAGCCAAAATAGCACCTCCCTCATGCAAGAGGGGGGTATCACACGACTTGGGAGAATGCCAAGGTTTGCAGAAATAGAACAAAATCAGTGGGGAAAAAACTCAAGGAAAGAGAATGCCAAAATAGCCCAATGGGTACAGGGTGTACATAATGGTCATGAAATGTCGCACACCTCTGGAGGAAACTAAAACTGTGGGGAGACCTTGGAAGAAACTATCATAGCTGGTACACTGGTCCCTGAAGAGGAGCACCTCAGACTACAATGTTTTGTTTCAGGACATACTGTTTAGCTCTGCCTTACGCTTCACAATTTACATAGCATTCCACTAATGGTCTCCATTCAGGCGTTGAATGCATATCCATGTAATACATTGAATAATTTGCACCATGTTTCTCATTCAAGTAGTCTACTCTTTTAACCAGGGTAATGCATGAGCCCTCAAAACGACTAAACTGCAGAATCTTCCACAACCAAAATGAGTCTAAAATACACCCATTAAACCTCAGACTTGTGAGCCAAGTTCAGCTCACCTGGGGTCCCAATCCACACCCTGAGTTTTGCCAGAAAGCTTCCTGCCTTTCCCTTGACTGCCAACATGTGTTCATTTCCCAGCTTTTGTGCATATCTCCACCCCCTTCAGTGAGCTTGAAATGCCTCCCTCCCAATCCATAGTTACTGGCAATAAGAGCTTTGAGCTAAATATATATTAGTGTTTTGTCCCTGCCATTATAGCCATTAATACCCCGCTGCTGAAGAGTCCTTCACTTGGCAGAACCTTAGTGAAGGTACCTGAAATACCTTGGCAATCCTTAGAAAGAAGAGATGAAACAAAAATCTGAAGTTGTGAACCTTGAAAGGGCTTTCATTTTAATTGTGCATCGAGATCGTGTGTGGTGGGGAGGGTGTTTCTAGTATTGTAATTGTGTAATTGACTGTAATGGATGTGAAAGATGGACAATGAAGAAAGTTGACAGGAAGAAAATTGATGTATTCGAAACTGGCTGCTGGAGGAGAGCTTTGTGAATATCCTGGACAGACAGAAAGATGAATAACTTAGTCGGTCCAAGAACAAATCAAATCAGAACTTTCCCTAGAAGCAAAAATTATGAAACTCAAGCTGTCATACTTCAGGCACATCATGAGAAGGCAAAGATCACTGGAATTGACAATAGTGCTAGAGAAAAATGAGGGCAAAAGAAGGGGAAAACTAACTATGAAGCTGAAATCATAAGAGCTGAGATGTAATAATTATTATTTCTTATTGTGACCTATCCAAGGATATATGTCAATACTTGTGTTACCGAACTGAGCCAGTCAACAGCTAGGGAAACCTGGGTGGACCGAAGACCCGAGCCAAACAGAACCTGAGACGAGACTTAGAGCCAAAATCAGCTTTATTCTAGTGCACTATAGAATAAAGGGAGACAAAAGGGGACATTCAGCCCAAAGCAGTGTCTCAAAAGTTGCACCCCAGTACATGCGTTTTATACCCTAGGTAACAAATTCAGTCACATAATACACATCTAATGCATCGATACATCAATGTATGCACCCCTTCCTGTGCTAGAGAAAGAGTCCTTTCTTCTGTCAAGGACCAGACATTTCCCATGTCTATTTTTTATCTGCTCGAGATTCACACAGGCTTGCCATGTTCTTACTCCCTGCACATTTGCAACTTTCATGGTGGCTAGAACCAGTTTCCACTGTCCCTTTGATTACTGTATTCGAGGTTAGGCTAGCGTGTTAGCTGTGGGTTACACAAAGTTCATTTTGTTCTTATCCCCCCTCCCTTCTGGGACAGTATAACTGTGGTGTTTTTACTATGTGGCCTTCCTCTGGCCAACTACTTTTGGGGCCTTTCTCTGGCCAATTACTTTTGGGGTGTTTTGGGATGCTGCAATTGGTAGCACTTGGAAGATGAAGGTCCAGACCCTCTTCATGAGTGAACTTCTCTTAAGCTACTGAAAATAACTATCAGTTGGTACCTATGTTTACTTGGGTTCCCATAGCAACTACCTATCACAAATGGTAATAGTTGTTCCTTGGCAACTGTCCTTGGTGACTACACATAGTTCCACCTCTTTGTCTGCACTTCTAGACTTGGCCAGGACCGGCTTGATGCACAAGAACTACTTTGGCACCTAAGTTGAGACCATGGAAGAGGTGAGGCACACATTTACGAGGAGGATTTAACTTCTGGTCACCTCAGAGACAAAACCAAGCCCTCCCAGGCAGGCAGTCACACCCAGACAAAGGCACTGACACCCTATGACCTACACAAAGGGTCCTGGATTTTAGGTACCAGTCCATGCAGGGAGCCTTGCTGCTTCCTTGCTGCCAGTCCAGGCCACATGTGGCAGGCATGTGGGGCCCTCCTTGGCCACCTCTGGCAACTGATCTGGAGCCACTTCTTGTTGGTGACTCTGGGACAGGCCTGGCATGTTTATAGCTCATTTATCATCTTAGTGGTGCTCTTCCCAGCCAGAGGTTTTGTGAACCTGGCCAGGCAATATCTGTACCAGCCCAGGGACACCAGTGGCTTGCAACACTGCCAGACAGAGCTTGAGGGATTTAGGCCCTCACTTCAGTGCCAACAGGAGCCAGAGATGGCTAGTCCTTTGCTCCAGTATATACATGAGCCCGAGGAGGTCAGCCCTGTGCTACGATACCTGCAGCACCCAGAAGAGTTTACTGCCTTACGTCAGCAACTGCTGCAGCCTGAGGAAAAGGCTGATACCTCAGTCCAGAAGTCGAAGGAAATTAGTCCTGTGCTCCAGTACCTACAACAGCTGGAGGAGATTGGTAGTAACTTACTTCAGCGGGACAGCTGCCTCATGTCTTCCTGCCCAAGAAATGCCAGCAAGCTGGAGAAGGTGACTCAGGTGAAAAATATGTGGGGTCTGGTGAAGCTCATGATTTTTCAGAATCAGAGGGGAAAGAAAATAAGATGACACCTCTGGGGTTGATATGGACGGAAAGGAAGTGTGGGCAGGAGGGGATATATCCTGAGCTGGATCTAAGTCTTCAAGACTATGCCTTATAGCACACCCAGCTCTGGTAAATATAGGAATCTGGGAATGTATTTGTGGTTTCATGCATGCTGAAAACAGTAAAGAGCCAGCCCTGGGACTTACTGGAATAGAAGCGGTTCATCACAGGCCCAGAAAGCTTTCCCAACATGATGGGCACTGTCACGCTTGATCTCATGTTTATTGCCCCATGACCATATGATGGCATCCAGTAAGTCTTGGGTTAAAAGTGTTCTTGAGTGAGAGCCAAGCAGTCAGAGGGCATTGATTAAAACTTAAAATTCAGGCCTTCTCTGGAATATTGTGAATAGTGTGTGCAAGTTAAATCAGGCATAAAGATGAAGGGGCTGCTAGTGCCAAGGGAAACCCAGCAGCTGGAGGGCTAGCATAACTCATTACAAAGCTTGTGTCATAATGATGAGGGTGACATTTCAAGAGTTGTGGACTGTGATAAACTGTGTGTCCAAGTTGTGTCTTGAAGCCAGCTAACTGGAGCAACAGCCCTCATATATAAAAACAAACAAATCCCATCAAAAGTCAGAACCAGAATCCCCATACAAATGCTGCTGCTGCTGCTGCTGCTGCTGCTGCTGCTGCTGCTGCTGCTGCTGCTTCTTCTTCTTCTTCTTCTTCTTCTTCTTCTTCTTCTATTATTATTATTATTATTATTATTATTATTATTATTATTATTAAACCTTCATTGCCCTATGCCATTTCTCAAATGCATTGATCCTCTTGAAGCTCCTTATATGTGGTACTTGCCTGGACTCCTGGTTTCACTCCTAACAAATTATTTTTAAAACCTTAGCTTTTCTCTCGTGTTCCACTGTTCCTGCACTATTTGACTGCTGTTTCCATTCCCAGGATAGCGGTTCTATGGTTTAAACATAAGAATGTTCACAGAATGCTGATGGATCAGACCAAGGGTCCATCTACCTCAGCTTTCTGATCACACAGTGGCACCCAAAAAACTCGCAAACAGAATGGGAGTGCCGC